AGCGGCTCGCATTACTTGGTGCGTCAGAACTCTCGAAAGATTCCACGCAGGATCCTCAAATGCTGTATACAACATCGTATCAGGACGAATCCTGGATATATACGTACGAACCCGAAATAAAAAACCAGTCACGAGTTTGGGTGTTCGAAAATGAGTTAAAGCCAACAAAAACTGTTCGTTCACGGAGTGTTGTAAAAAAATGGTTGCCACATTTGTCTCCAAAACCGGCCATGTTACGACTATTCCTCTTGAGGGACAAAGAACGGTTAATGCAGAATGGTATGCTAGCATTTGTTTGCCACAGGTCGTTTCTGAACTCCGTAAAGAGAACTGCAACCGCCGCATCTCCTCCATCACGACAATACGAGTTCTCACACCGCACACAGAACAAAAGCGTTTTTAGAGCAAGAAAACATAGAATTATTAGACCATCCGCCGTACAGCCCTGACCTAAGCCCTAATGATTTCTATACTTTCCCTAAATAAAAGAATAAATTGCGTGGACAGAGATTTTCATCACCTGAAGAAGCTTCGCCACTGGTGGACGCCTACAAAACGGCCATTTTGGAGACCCCAACTTCCGAATGGAATGCTTGCTTCAATGATTGGTTCCATCGATTGGAAAAATGTGTCAAATTTCGCGGAGAATACTTCGAAAAGCAATAAATACATTTTTAAATAGTAATGTTGTGTCACTTCCTTGATTCCCGAAATTTTCAGTGCCGCCCTCGTACTATGTGAAATTGTTCTCTTTACTTCTACACTCCGTAGGTAAAACTTTGTCAACATATTGCTTGCACTTGAGGCACAGTTGAACCCTGTAGGTAGCGATATTGTAGAATCAGATATAACCCGTGCGAAGCCAGGGCAGATCGCTGATTTATAATAAAATGCTCTTATGTTATCACTTATCAGTTAGCAACATTTATTGATTAAATAAAATAAAATGTAAAATAATTTGTCTCTCTAACATCGCGCGTCTACAATGTGATTTTATAAACTCTTCGACTTCAAAGTCGAATAGAAAAGAATTTCGAAAAAACGCGATTGCTACGTCTTGATTTAAATATTTCAAATGAGGGGAAATGATCAATTTTTGTATGTGAAATAGAGGACGTATTTTAAAATATAGGACCTCTGGCAATCCGAAAAATGCTAGTGACGGAAGATTCCAACATTTGTTCGTATGTGTTAAGGAATTCTTAAAAATAAACATGCTTGAGTATTGCCAAAATAAATCTATACAAGGGCTTGAATATTACGATCGTAATAATATTGTTTTCTTCAAAAGATGCATAAAACGATATGCGTTTAATGGCCAAAACACTGTCATAGTGTTTACTAAATGAAATGAAATGAAATGAATGACTTTATTCAACATAGATTATTATGTAATACTTATTGAAAGTCATTTTTTAATTTACCACTGGTTCGCAAAAAAAACATCAAAACCTGATATTGACACATGAACACAAGGCTTAAGAAAGTTATAAAGACACAAGTTCACTCTAAAGGTTTTAATATGCTCATCTATAAGTACTTGATAGCTTTAGAATCTTTTTTTAAATTCAACTTTCAAAGAATCAAATTACATAATATTATCGTGATAGAGCCACGGTGGAGAAGAGTCGACCGGGGAAACCAACACTCGAACAGAAAACCATGATCGTATTTTTTTCATAAGGGCGGCCCCCCACTAGATGGAGTTTTTTAATAGGATAGGGTGACAAACGAGCACACTATCCACCTGATGGTAAGTGTATGCTGTGGCCCGTAGACATCTACATTTATCCTCGATTAAGAACCAAAACTCAGATGCGTTGTCACCCCTAAGGACTAAGATGGAATGCCTCGTTTCCAGTATAAAAGGGTCTCCGGTTCTCTACACTTGATATACGAAACACATCAGCATTAAGCTGCTATTTTACGCTGGTATTCTGTGAGAGCGTGGTCCCACCCACCCCGAGCCAACTCATTTGTGTTACAACCATAATATAGCTGCAGCGTGGATCTATCGTATAAAATATGACGAAATCTAGAAAAATTGAGACTTGATAACTGGTAGGTAAAGAAACATTACATATACTTAGTGCTTAGAGGTAACAACGCATCTGAAATTTGAGTTCTGTTTTCTATAAAAGTAAAAGTAAAATATAGTAAAATAATAAATAAAAGTAGATTTGCAAAAATAAGTGATATTCATTCTGTAAATACTAGGAACAGACACAAGCTAGTACTTAGTAGTACCAGTTACTCGACTCCACCGAGTCAGTAATTAGTTCTTGGGGCGATGTATACGCTTTTACAACAAAATTCCAGAAAATATACAATATTTGTCATACGCAAAGTTCAAAAAATTTATTAAACTAAGTATACTAGTACTCGTATAAAAAGTTTTATTATAATGTTACGCGCCGAAGTCGCCGGCACTAGCGCCATCTAGTCTCAAATTGAAGAACTAAACTTTCTAGAAGCTCTACACTCGATCTTTCTGCTCTTGGTCGGTTGGCGCGCGTATTTACTTGAATATTCTGGAATATTCTGGATGTTTTCGTGGAAGAGCCCTATATAAAGGCGCTGCAATACGCGATCGGGGAAGTATTGAAGTTGGCGAGACACGCGAAGCTTCGGAGCGGAATAAAGTGAATCAGTGTGATTAATTATTAGTGTTTTTTTAATTTAGGTAATTCTATCGGCAATTTTTATTGTCACGAACCTCAAGCTCGTAACAATAATATTAAGAAGTTTACGGATGCTAATAACCCCTGGGGAGGATGATTGCTACCAAGTTGTTTCTAATTTGTTGTGTTGTTAATTGTAAACATGATTGTAAGCTATTATTGGAAAAAAAAATTAGTCCCGCTGGGTTTCTTGCTGGTTTTTCCCAGGACAGAGGTTTTTTTGCGAACCAGTGGTAAATAAAAAAAGTGACTTTCAATAAGTATTATTATAATCTACATTAAATAAAAAAGTTCCTGTTTCTGTTTCTATAAGATAAAAAATTAAAGTCAGCAACCCCTGTCTTTGAATTCTTCCAAACTTTAGATAAGCGGCGAAATGAATCTTTAACTAATTGTAATTATGCAACTCCAAAAAAAAGATGGGAGGTTTTTGTAATTTTTCAGTCACGAAAGTGCTGATTTGCGGATTTTTTTAACAAATCAATATAATAATGACTTCTTTATATTTACGCAAACATTACATATTAAATAAAACAAATTTAATGAATTTTATCAATATTGACTTTTTAATTCCCGACGTTTCGGGAGCTTTTTTACAACACCCATAGTCACGGGTGGGAGGGTGGTGGTCTGAGGAGTTTGACGTCTCGATGTATCTATATAAATTTTTGATCCGATCTACGCACCTGAATAGGTAATTGATATATTTCTGGCAGTTTTAGAATTTCCTTTTGTAAGTTATTATAATAGACCCATTTAGTTTAGTTTTTTTTATTTATGGCCTCGGTACAATTGCGATGTTTATGTCTTGGTTTTAATCATCAATATTTGCATTTGTTTACTCAAGAAGTTTAAGTTTTTACAACGAACTCTAAATACTAAACGACCATGCACAATTTAATTCAGTGTCCACTCCATTAAAACGGGAACTTCACACTTTAAAAAACCACCGCAAATGGTTTAGAAATATCCTCCGTTATGCTGAAAATATTGCAGCATTAATTTTGAAAAAAATATATGGTGAAATTGAGGATTAATGTTAAGTAATATGTTAGACTAAAACACGATTCCGTAAAATTTTTTCGATAGAAAAAAAATCCAAAGTTACCTCCAAACTTAACAATAAACCGCTGTTATTCATAAAATACTTTTAATAGGATCATGACACTTTCAGTAGTAGCATACTAACTGAACTAACTATAAAGAGGGCTTATGTTTTTATTTTTTTTATTACCATTATTTTCACCGTAAAAGGAATTTACCTAAACTATCGGCATCTTGAAGCTTGTTTCCTACCGCCCGGTCAGTATCGCTTCGGCCTTTGAAGAGGGAAGCCGTGTCATTTACGACCAGACTACACATTATGCAACAGGACGACGTAAAACTAAAATGGGAAATAACCGTAATAAAAATAAGAAGGGACTGGCTTGGCGTTAAGAAACAGGCACAAATATGATAAACCTAATGAAATAAGTGTCTAACGACCTTTCTACTTACAGTATTAGTGATTACAAACATGTCGGTACACAGCATACGACGCGCGGGGAAGTGGGGGCGAAATTAGAATTTGAGCTGAGTTACTATATCCCCTTAACGGATCTTAGCTAAGATCCGCGTGTAACAAAAAGAAATATTGCGTATTACCTAGTTTGAAGAGCGGTCTTAGCGCGGTCATTACCGAGTCTACTTCACCTGAGGATGCCTCGTGTAAAGGAGAAACACGTGTCGTATTATCGTCGATGGTGTGTCTTACCTGGAATAGTGGTGTAGGGAGTAGTGGCGCTGGGACTAGTGGTGACGGAGTTAAATTAAATACATCATTGTATTTATTTAGCGGAAGGTTGCAAAGAAATTTATTTATATTTTCATTTTTTATTACGAGGATGGTGTGTCTTTTTTGGTGTAGTGGTGTTAAGAGTGGTGGTGCTGGGATTAGTGGGGACAAGGATAGTGAATGAATTGAAGAGGGCGGGAGGTGCTCTTCAAACTAGGTAAGACACATCATCATCATCATTGATTTTTTATTACGCGGCTCTTAGAAAAAAATTTTAATCTTCACTTCCGCAAAGTAACGCCTGATTCTTTTGTTTAACTTTATTTAATCACATAATAAAAGTTTTTCTTTTATAAAAAAAATACAAGAAATTGTACTATACAATAACAATAACGTAGAAATGTATTAAATTTTTTTTCGTATTCAATAGTGTCTAATTTATATTCGCAATATTAAATATATTTTGTTTTGTTATCTGTATATTTGTTTGTGGTGTATAATAAAAATATATTCATTCAAATTCAAATATATTGTGTGCGACATACCCATCTCTTTCGCCTGCTTCCTGGCAGCCAAGTTGGCCAAGTACTCCGGGCTGGTTTTGTCTATCCGCGGCCTCCCTCTTTTTCTCTTAGCCGGTGTCGAGGGGGAGCTTGACGAGCTCGTCGCTGGCTTGGGGCCATTACTTGTGTCTGGAAACGGGAGAAAACCAAGTTACACGCACATCATATTTTTTAAAGGAAGCAATAGTGAAACGATCACACTGACAACCCGATATCAAGTGGATGTTGTAGCCTATAGATACCTAAAAATAATCTAGACTAGTGATCCCCGCCCCGACTTCACATGGGTGATGTAACATTTAGTTTTTTATTTTATATAGGATAGAGTGACGAACGAGCACATAGTCCACCTGATGGTAAGTGGTTGCTGCGGCCTATAGACATCTACATCTATCCTCGATTCTCCATCCTGAGCGGTTCTCACCGCCCAAACCATCGACCGACACGAGCTGAGCAGTCAGAGACGGGGGTCCGCACTCCCCCCCTCGGACTGCGGTTAGATAGCTCAAAAAAAAGCCTAAAAAGGCGATATGATGATTGGTAACAATACCAAATCATAAACCATTTCATCATCATCCTCACCTCATTGCCTTTCCCTTCTTTTAAATAGCCTGCGAGGCCGAGAGCCCTGTCAGGTGAAGCTGTAAGAGTCGCATAGACTAATAGCACTAACGTCTAGATACTAGTCTATCCTCGATTACAAATCAAAATGCAGATGCGTTGTCACCCGTGAGGACTGAGATGGAATGCCCAAAATTCTCTACACTCGCCATACGAAACAGCAGCATTAAGATTTTATTTCACGCTGGTATTCTGTGAGAGTGTGGTCCTTCCCCGGTCGAGCCATTTCCCAGAGCCTATTCGTGCTACAATTATACTACTAATATAATTTCTTTATTAAGTTATAAAATAAATAAATGTAAACAACCAATAACGCATAAATATCGTACCAGGCAAATTGACAAAGGTAAATATGTGATACCACACATAAGAAACTATTATGGTAAGAGAACTAGGCAATATTTAACTCCCCTTATATTTAATAGAATATATTTTATAAGAGAGATATGTCCAAAGACATGAACGTTGTAACATTAAAAATAAGACTGAAAGATACATTCGTAAGAAAAGTATAATGTGCTACCTAAAAGTAAAAGTAAAGTTACAGCCTATATACGTCCCACTGCTGAGCACAGGCCTCCCCTCATTTATGAGAGGGTTTTAGGGCGGGGAAGTGTCCGCCGCGCTGCCCCAATGCGTGTTGGCGAACTTCACATGTCTTAGAAATATTTTTATCTTATTCCTCAGTCATGCAGGTTTCCTCACGATGTTTTCCTTCACCGCCGAGCACGTGGTAAATCAGCACTTAAAATTGCAATTAACAATTTCATTGGTGCCGGCGGGGATCGAACCTGGGTTACTCGCGTTCTGTTATATTACATCGAGTGTTAACGATCTGAGCTACCACGGCTCAGATGTGCTATCTACAGTAGGTTTTAATTAAAGAAAGAAATAATAATTCTAATATAACTGTTGGGCAGTTTGGCGATGATTATTATTACTGTAAATGCGTGTTTTTATATGAATAAACGTATTTAAAAAAATGAATATCTACAACAGCGCCATCTACCGAGTCCACTTGTGAATCTAAACCCTTCTCGGTTCAACCATTTTAGTTTTCGCGGGAGTAACGCGGACAGCAATTGAATTTTATATATAAAGATTAAGAATTAAAATATTTATGTGTGTTTACGCTGCTATTATGTGAGAGCGTTGTCTTTCCCCGGTCGAGCCGACCCATACGTGCTACAATCATAATATAGCTGCAGCATCTGCCACTTGTGGAAACTATAAAAAAGTCAGTGTTCACAGCATAGTTAATATACATATATTTCGGTGACATCTTATTGTAACTTATTGCTTATTAGATTATTAAATATATAAACAGATTTAAAAAGGAGATAATTTTAATAAAAACGTATGGACAAATTTCGCCTTGGAAAAAAATTTGTTAGGAAAGAATATTGGAACATTCGTTTAAATAATAATTTTAAAATTGGTTGACGAAAATTGAATCGTAAAACGTCATACTAATTAGATTTATGATATTACAGGGGAGAATGCGGAGATAATATCTAATGATCAACATAGCTTGTATGAACTTAAGAGTCTGGAACCGAACATGAAGCGTTTGAAACAGTAAAAAATATGTAGATATATATTTAGATGGTTTGTTAACCCTGGGGACCAAGAAAGTATTTTTTCTATTTTAAAAAAGCGTTCCCTCTCCCTGTCTGCATACTAGGATTACCACCAGTATCGTGGAGGCAGTTAATATACAAGAACTGCTCATGAAAAACTCATTTTGAGTTTATTAGGAAGATGCTGCTGCACCTGTCTCAGTTTCCATCTGCCGCCTCTTACGACACCCACGGGATGATATGGGCTAATGGATATTTTAACAACGCTTCTACACGGCCTTTATATGGTATTTCTGAAATATTAGTTATATTTAATATTAATTAGATTAAGAGGTGAGAGTAAGTCAGCTCAAATTCTAATTTCGCCCCCACTTCCCCGCGCGTCGTATGCTATGTACCGACATGTTTGTAATCACTAATACTCTAAGTAGATAGGTCGTTAGATACTTATTTCATTATGTTTATCATATATATGCCTGTTTCTTAACGCCAACCCAGTCGCTTCTTATTTTTATAACGGTTATTTCCCATTTTAATTTTACGTCTTCCTGTTGCGTAATGTGTTTTCTGATCGTAAGCGACACAACTTCTCCCTTCAAAAGCCGGAGCAATACTAACGGAGTGACATGTGTCAATCATGCATGATTCGTTCGTTTGAGCTGGTACACTTAAAAGTATTGATGGTTCATTCATTTGTTTTTGAGTGTACCAGTACAACCAATCACAAACAACTGACGGTACCTTTTAACCCGCGATTTGTTTGAATTGTGAATGAGCTACAAACCGACCGAATCCCGAATGATCTGATTCTGAATAAACAGGCGAATCGTATTAACAATGCAGACCGCAGAGTATCAGGACTATTTATTATTTAAGGGTTTTTGTATTATAATTTTGTTACCTAAATTAAAAATTACTTTACATTTTATTATATTTATTTGTTAAATCTATTAGTTAAATTTATCATTTCGTAGAGTTTACTAAAAATAACACTTCAAAAGATTTCATGATAAATGATTCATTTCATGATAATTTTCAACCATCTTATATAAGAATAAGATAGGTAAATGTTTAATTTTGTAGCAAATAAATGTAAAAATTTTCGGTTCCCAATGGATCTCACAAAGTACTGGAGCCTGAAATGATCCATTTGAATGATCGATCCGAATGTACCAGTACGCATGACGAAATGTACTAGAATGATTCGGTCGCTAGAAATGAATGATTGACACATGTCTATAACGGAGCGACAGGAACCAAGCTTACGCGCCGATAGTTTAGGTAATTTCTTTTTACAGTGAAAATAATGATATTTTAAAAAAAGTAAATAACATAAGCACTGCTTTATGGTTAGTTCAGTTAGTATGCAAAGTTTCATGATCTTATTTAAAGTATTTTATGAATAACAGCGGTTTATTGTTCAGTTTGGAGGTAACTTTGGATTTTTTTTCTATCGAGAAAATTTTACGGAATCGTGTTTTCGTCTAACATAAACCTTAACATTAATCCTCAACTTTACCATATATTTATTTCAAAATTAATGCTGCAATACTTTCGGCATAACGTAGGATCTTGCTAAGCCATTTGAGGTTATATTTCCCCTTAAAGTGCGTGTTCGAGCAAAATGCCGCGCTAGTCCGTATTTGTAAGTTTTTAGGAGCTACATAATATCCGCTTGTCATTAAAAAGATATATCAACTAATAACAAATCTATTAAATTTCTACATAATCTTGATTCCATAATAGCCAATTTCAATTTTTTTTAAAGGAATAAATACTTGATGAATCTTCCTAAAACTAAATTACATAAATGCGAAATAATTATTGAAACATGTCATTCCTCATAAAGTAAGCATTATTTCATTTTGCGATCGACACTAATGTGCGGGACAAGTGAAAACAAATAGAATACTGTTAGCGCAACACCGACAAAAAAAAAAAAAAAAATACATAAATAAGACAAACATTTTTATATTAATGGAATAAATATTATAGTTTAGAGTTTGTACTTAAATAGGATATAAGCGTTTATGTTGTGTTAATAAAGATTATAGTTTAGAGTTACACATAAAAAAGGATATAAGCATTTTATGTTAAGAAAATAATAGTGTAGAGCTTATATTTATATATTAGAATTAGTTGATCACTTTGTATATAACTAGCTTAAGGTAAACAATGTAACGTGACTCAGCATCGTCACTTGCTCTGTCGCGCCTCGCGCTGATTGGTCGACGCCGTTGTACGGTACGTACACCGTATCAATTGACCCGGCCGAGGTAGTATAAAAGAGGGGCGATTTTCGTCGTTCGACCCAGGACATTCCGCCTGACTGTGGCATCGCTTCCGAGCGGTAGCATCCAGGTAGTCCGCGCTTTCGTCTCTGTACGGTAGTGCTCTCCCGCTCTCGCGCCCCCGCTGTCCCGCTCGCGCTGTACAGTGCTCAGTCCGCCGGCGGCGTCGTTCTCGGACGGTCGCTTCCTGGTGGTCCGCGCTCCCGTACAGTACGGTAGTGCTGTCTCGCTCTCACGCGCCTCCGCTGTCCTGCTCACGCGGAACAGCGTCGAGGCTGCCGGTGAGTCAATTTCACGCTACAGTTCTTGCCCCCCTGTCTTCGGGCAGGGAGGTCTGACTGACTTCCGCTTTTTATTTTCATCTATCATTTTTAATTTTTTTTTACTGTCTCCTTTTTTTCTTGTTGTTCTTGCATTACTATTACGTGCATAGTGTGTCGTAGTACGTGTCGCGATCTAGTCCCTGTTCTACCGAGAACAGGGACCCGTCCTCT